GGCTCCAGACGCACAGGCTTAGCGGCCATGGCTCACGGGCCCAGCTGCTCCGCGGCATGTGGGATCTTCCCGGACCGGGACACGAACCCGTGTCCCCTGCATCGGCAGGCAGACTCTCAACCACTGTGCCATCAGGGAAGCCCTACCATGTTTTTTAAAATTTCATTTAATATTGGGAATTCCCTGGCGGTCCAGTGGTTAGGACTTTGTTCTTTTACTGCTGAGGGCGTGGGTTGAATCCCTGGTCAGGGAACTAAGATCCCACAAGCCATGTGGTGTGGCAAAAAAAAAAAAAAAAAAAACCCCAAAATTATTTTATAAAAGTTAAATATATGTATGTATTTATATTTTAGAAGCCACATAGTTCCATTAGGTTTAGAGCTAAAAAAATAGCAGTCTTCTGTCCCCCGTTTTTCCCCTCCAAATTCCCCCTCCTTAGAGGCAGCCACTTTCACTTGTTTTAGTTGTTTCGTCTGCTACTGCTTTCTGTACTTCCAAACAGCGTTCTTATATTACTATTTCTTGAGGTAGTATTTAAGACAGCATTTCTTGACTAATAGGGAAGATGAGAATTTAACTTTCTTACACCACTTCTCCTCTGCCTCCCCCCCCCACACGTATTGGCCTTCCCTTACCCTTCCAGTATCTCAAATTTGGCTCTGTAAACATTATTATAACTCTGTAAACAAAACACATAGGGTACGGCAACTAAACAACCATGTATTCTTCCTGGAGTTAATAACTGTCCCATTTAAAATTCTTCTTGGGCTTCCCTGGTGGTGCAGTGGTTGAGAGTCCGCCTGCCGATGCAGGGGACATGGGTTCGTGCCCCGGTCCGGGAAGATCCCACATGCCGCGGAGTGGCTAGGCCCGTGAGCCATGGCCACTGAGCCTGTGCGTCCGGAGCCTATGTGCCGCAACGGGAGAGGCCAAAACAGTGAGAGGTCCGCGTACCGCAAAAAAATAAAATAAAATAAAATTCTTCTTGTTTTTTTATGACCTATCTTCACATTTTCATGGAACTGTTAACTTCTTAGCGCTCTCAACTATGTCATGTGATCTCTCCATTCCTTTTTTCCCTTGGGGAACTCCTTGGAGTCCCTCATATTCCTGCTCCAGTCTGCTCCCCAGTCCTGCTGCCTAGCTCTCATTTCAGGCTTCAGCATCATCTTTCAAATTCTCTTTGCCTGTTTTCTAGGATGCGTGTGCAATTCCTATATTCTTCATCTTCCTTTTCTTGGTTTATTCCCAGCTTCCTGAAGCACAAGGTTTAATAGCTTCCTGAGAAGGGATATGTGGGAGGTAGACTTTTGCGTTCTTGCTTGTCTGGAAAATGCCGTAGTCTCCCCTTACAATTGATGTTTGACTGGGTATGGTCTAAGTTGGAAGTAATTTTCTCGGAGAATTTTAAAGAACCTTTTACCTTCCAGTATTGCTTTTGAGAAGTCTAATGCCAGTTTTATTCCTGATTCTTTGTTAACTCCCCCCACTTCAAACTTTCCAGATCTTTATCCCAGGTGTTTTAAAATGTCACTGTAATGAGCCAGGTGTGGGGATTTGTTCATTCATATTGCTGAGCACTTGGTGGACCTTTTTAGTGTGAATAAGTAACTTCTTCAGTTCTGAGAATTATTCTTTGTTATCATTCTCCCCATTTTCTGTCTTTTCTCTTTTTGTATTCAGACTTTGGGCTTCGTTAATTCTTTTTTTCTCTTGTTCATTCACTTTTATTTCTCCTTTGCCTTGTCTGTGACATTTCCTCAGCCATATTATTATCTTCCAACCCTTCTAGTAACTTAAAATTTTTTTTGCAATTTTAAACTTCCAATACTTTTTTTTGTTTCTGGAATATTTCTTTTCAAAAAAAATTAAAAACATTCTCTTCTTGTTTCATGGATATCGTATCTTAGCTCTCTGAGGATGTTAATTATAGGTGTTTTTCGCCCTTAGTTCTGTTTCTTCCAGATGCTTTTTGTTTGTTTGTTTAGGGCTCTGTCTTTCATGTTGCCAAAATCTTGGCTGTCTGTGCACAGATGCTGTACAGAAATACTGAGACAGTTATGGAGGAGAAAGAAAGAGTGCCTTTACTTCTTTGCCAGGCGAAGAGGGAACACAGTAGGCTAGCACCTCAAGAACTGTGCTCCCCTCCCTGGGGAATAGGGAGAGGTCTTATAGTCGGGGCTCATGGTCAGGGGTATGCAATAAGGACGAAGGCAGTAACAGTCTTGCATTCTTCTTCTGCAGAGTTTCAAAAGGATGGGGTTGCTGACAAGATTAGGATGTGTGCAGGGTCTCAGACGGTCTCCTAATCTTCTCCGGTCCCTTTAATCTTGCCTCAGGTGGTTTTGTGGCTGCTCCTCCCTTGATTAGCAACTGTTCGAATCTGCCCTTTGGAACTCAGGGAAGGTCATGGAGGCTGGAGTTTTGCCTACAAGAAATGGGGGACAAAAAAGCCTCCGTGCCTGGGAGCCCCATAGGGCCGCACTCGGTTTCAATGTTAGGGATTTTTCCCCTCCAGTTTGTGGTGCTTCTACCTGACTGATTGGAAGCTGAGTGAATGGGCCTTGAGGACTGGTGGGCTTCACTGTAGGGAAGTTTGATGGGGACCCAAGTGGTCTGTTGGAGGGATTCCCTGGGTATTTGAACCCTGGGCTGCTAGTCTTCTATTGGTGGGTGGGGTGGGTGGAATGTCTTACCTTCTAGTGCGGACTTTAACTTCATGCTCCAGCTGTGGGTTGTAGCAGCTCGTCGCAGCCTCGTGTCCTGAGTACAGAGTTTCTCTGGTTCAGCCACCAGAGCCCAGCAGGGGACTGCTGGCTTCTTTCCCGAAGAGGCTTTCCACACCCCCTCAGAGGCAGGCGCCCTTTCTTTGTCTCCTGTAGCACCTTGTACTTCCTACCACAGCACTTGCAATACTTTATTGTATTTGAATGTTGATTAGTCTGTCACTCCTGAGGGCAGAGATGGATCTGTCTTGTTGATCATTTTATCTCTAGTGCCAGGCACGACTGTCTATCTGCATGTTTGTATCCTGGGGTGTAACCATTAGATTATGCCTCCCTCCCTCCCAGAGGACCAGAGGTTCCTTGGCTGGAGAGGATAAAACAGGGTTTTAAACTTTGTGGCTCCTTCAGCTTCTACAGTCTGTGGGCAGAAGGCACAGAGCAGCGCCACTTTGGGGGTTATTGACCCTGTTTTCTAACCATACAATGAGAGTGTGTCATGCGCACTAGTCAAGGAGTTAGACTTTGAATGAGCAGTCCTGTGGTTCCTAGGAAGTGCAGCAGTTTCTTAGGAGAGGACAAGCAAGTTCTTGTTGCTGATGAGTCCCAGAGATGAAGATGTAGCTATGTAATGATTCCAAACTCAGCTTTGGAAAGTGATCCACCCATAGTCCATGCGGTCTCTTCTTTATTCCCTTTTTAAATTTTAACATTTATAAAAAATTTCAAATGTACAAAAAATAAGCTTTTGAAGCAAATGCTAGACATCATGTCATTTCATCTGTAAGTATTTCAGTATGTTATCTCTTTAAAAACTACTCTTGAAAAAAAAAATCAGAATGCCATTATCACACCTAAGGGGGAGAAAAACCTAGTAATTCTGTAGTATCACCAAAGATACATGTGATGTTCTAAGCAGTCGGTTGGGTTGGCTGTATAGAAGCCCTACAGGTGAAAATGGAGTCTGAGCAGATGGTTTTGGAGCTTGTTCATCTGTTTTTCTTTCTTCTTCTTTTTTTCGAAGTTTAATTTATTGAGCTTTATTGAGGTCTGTGTACATACCATAAAATTCCTTGTTTTAAGTGTACAGTTCAAATACTTTTAGAGAATTTGATGTGTAGTCATCATACCCCAATTTTAGAACATTTCCATCATGCCCCCAGAAGTCCCCCTTCCCACTTGCGTCCTGCCCCGAGCCCAACCCCGGTCCCAGAAAACCACTAATCTACTCTCTGTCTCTATAGCTTTACCTTTTCTGTGCCACAGGTGTGGAACGTCCATTAGATTATTTTTTTATCGAATAGACTTCCAGCCAGTCCCCTTGTCTTGACATCATCTTCACTCCACTTCCCCTGGCACCTTGGCAGCCAGTTCTGAGCCTCTGGGTGGGTGGGGGTTTATATATGTCAGGTTGTTTTAGCCACTGCCAGTTTAGGATTCAGCTTTCTGGGCATGCTAAGTCAGTCAGCATGTATTCGTTTACCTGCTCACCAGCTTCCAAAATGCTATTGATATTTCTTTCCCATTCTTTTTTCCCTTGTGGGTTTTTACCTTTAAAACAACAACAAAACCAAAAAACTTTAAGGGTGGAGAGGGTGAATGCATGAGTGCAATCTACTACCATCTATAACTGGAAATCTTCCCCACTAATATTGATATGCCCTTTTTATTTATTTAAGGTTGCTAAAAGACTCTTTATAATTTCTTGGAGTTTATTTATTGTCCTCAGGGAGTGCAGAACTCTGACTTCTCAGGTATAGATAGATGTTGCATCACCCACACACTGGTCTTTTCTAACATGGACCCTAAGTGTTAAAAGTGGGTCATGTAAGGGTGAAGGGGAGGCTGTAAACAGCCTGTAGCTGATCTGTGTGTGTGTGCAGGCTTCCAGGGCTGTTAGCCGAATCAGCATTTGCTCCTTATTGGACAGGTGTTTAGTCTGCGTGCCCACCATCAGAAACATCACGAGCTTTGAAAGGTCCAAGCTTGGTCATTCATGCCTCCCTCTTTTTTTTAAGATTTTTTTTTTTGATGTGGACCATTTTTTGTGTTTATTGAATGTTACATTGCTTCTTTTTTTTGTTTTGGTTTTTTGGATGCGAGGCATGTGGGATCTTAGCTCCCCGACCAGGGATCGAACCCACACCCGCTGCATTGGAAGGCGAAGTCTTAACCACTGGACCACCAGGGAAGTCCCCATGCCTCTCTTGTCGTCGCACCCTCTGTGCCCTTTGACTTAAGCTCTTCTGCGTCTTAACACTTTCTTTTTTTTTATAGGATCATGGATTTTCCTGGCCACTTTGAACAGATCTTCCAGCAGCTGAACTACCAGAGACTTCACGGCCAGCTCTGTGATTGTGTCATTGTAGTGGGGAACAGACATTTCAAAGCCCACCGCTCGGTCCTAGCAGCATGCAGTACACATTTCCGAGCCCTGTTCTCTGTGGCAGAGGGAGATCAGACCATGAACATGATCCAGTTGGATAGCGAGGTAGTGACAGCGGAGGCCTTTGCCGCACTGATTGACATGATGTATACCTCCACCCTCATGCTGGGGGAGAGCAATGTTATGGATGTCTTATTGGCAGCCTCTCACCTGCACTTGAACTCTGTTGTTAAGGCATGTAAACATTACCTAACGACAAGGACGCTGCCCATGTCTCCCCCCACCGAGCGCGTTCAGGAGCAGAGCGCCCGCATGCAGCGCTCCTTTATGCTGCAGCAGCTGGGACTGAGCATCGTGAGCTCAGCCCTCAATTCCAGCCAGAGTGGTGAGGAGCAGCCGGCCCCCATGAGCTCCTCGATGCGCAGTAACCTGGACCAGCGGACACCCTTCCCCATGAGACGCCTGCATAAGCGCAAGCAGTCTGCAGAGGAGCGGGCCAGACAGCGGCTCCGACCCACCCTAGATGAGTCTGCCATCTCTGACGTTACGCCAGAGAATGGGCCGGGGGTTCATTCTCGGGAGGAGTTCTTTTCACCAGATTCTCTGAAGATCGTGGATAACCCTAAAGCTGACGGGATGACCGACACCCAGGACGACAGCGCCATCATATTTGACCGGCCCTTTGGTGCTCAAGAAGATGCCCAGGTGCCCAGCCAGTCCGACAACAGCACCGGCAACGTGACCCAGCTCTCCATGGCCTCCCGCGCCACTCAGGTCGAGGCTAGTTTTGAGCAGGAAGCCACACCTGAGAAAAGTGGTTTTCAGTGTGAAAACCCTGAGGCTGGCCTTGGTGAGAAGGAGCACATGAGAGTGGTGGTTAAATCTGAGCCCCTGAGCTCTCCTGAGCCTCAGGATGAAGTGAGCGACGTGACCTCCCAAGCGGAAGGCAGCGAATCGGTGGAGGTGGAGGGAGTGGTGGTCAGTGCCGAGAAGATAGACCTCAGCCCCGAGAGCAGCGACCGGAGTTTTTCAGATCCCCAGTCTAGTACTGACCGGGTAGGAGACATCCATATTTTGGAAGTCACAAATAACCTAGAACATAAATCCACTTTTAGCATTTCAAATTTTCTTAACAAGAGCAGAGGAAGTAACTTTAGTGCAAATCAGAACAATGACGATAATATCCCAAACACCACTAGTGACTGCAGGCTGGAGGGGGAGGCCCCTTATTTGTTGAGTCCAGAGGCTGGGCCTGCAGGCGGGCCCTCCTCAGCCCCTGGCTCTCACATGGAGAACCCGTTCAGCGAGCCCACAGATGCTCACTTCGTCAGGCCTATGCAGGAAGTGATGGGCCTGCCATGTGTGCAGACCTCAGGCTACCAAGGAGGAGAACAGTTTGGGATGGATTTTTCCAGGTCTGGTTTGGGGTTGCATTCCTCCTTCTCCAGGGTAATGATGAGCTCCCCCAGAGGTGGAGCCAGTAACTTTCCATACTACCGCCGCATAGCTCCCAAAATGCCAGTGGTAACGTCAGTCAGGAGCTCACAGATCCCAGAGAACTCTGCCAGTTCCCAGCTAATGATGAACGCGGCCACATCCTCATTTGAAAATGGCCACCCTTCGCAGCCTGGCCCCCCGCAGTTGACGAGGGCATCTGCTGACGTCCTGTCAAAGTGCAAGAAGGCCTTATCGGAGCACAATGTCTTAGTCGTAGAGGGGGCTCGCAAGTATGCCTGCAAAATCTGCTGCAAGACTTTCCTGACCTTGACAGATTGCAAGAAGCACATCCGTGTTCACACAGGTGAAAAACCCTACGCCTGCCTCAAGTGCGGCAAGAGGTTCAGTCAGTCCAGCCACCTGTACAAACACTCAAAGACCACCTGCCTGCGCTGGCAGAGCAGCAACCTTCCCAGCACTTTGCTCTAACCCGACCTCTTGAGATAATGCTGAGGCCAGTATCAGGACCTAAACTACAGTCTCTCTTGGTTGGTGGTTAATGCCGTTGGGTTTGAGGCTTCAGGCTGCGAATGGCTCATGCAAATTTCGATGACTAATAAATGGAGAATTAATAGGTGTAGTGCTTGTACTGCTACATTTCTGAGTGAAATGTACGCTTTCAGAGAAGGGATCCAATCCCTGAAACCAAGTTCTTCCTTAGGGTTGAGTAATGCAGTCAGAAAGTAGTTTGGAATTGATGTCATTAACAGTGGCACATTTGACAATTAAAAATTGAAGTGCAAAAGTTTTTTTTAGCAATTTTTGTAAAACTCTGAAGCATTTAAATTTCCTATATACCTTCTGATGAGATTATATACCTGTACAGCGATGCAAGATAAACTTAAGTGTAACCAGTGGCAACTTTGTGCCTGTCTAAAAGGAAGGCCCTTGAGGACATACCTGTCTGCCAAAAATGCTTTAAAGTTTATCATGAGCTAGTCCTAGGCTTCAGAAAATACTGTATTTTTTATTTTTGTCTGATTTGCAGTCACAGACACTGCACTTTCATGGTGCTGACACTGGGTCCAGAGCGAGCATTCTCTGGACTATTAGGTGTATATATACTTTTGAAAACATCACTGTTTGTTACATAGATGTTTTAACAATTTTTCCTGGTTTTAAAAACAAAGTTGTAAAAGGAGTATGTACTTATAGGGAGCAACAAGTAAGGTATTGTTTCTGTATGTGCTGTTTTAGCAGTATTTTAACCAACTTGTAATATATATGTTACAGTTCCATGTTTGGAAGTCAGAAAAGAGCTAGTGTTTGTCTTTGTTCTGATGGTGTGGAGTCCTGTTTAGTGAGATCTTTTATGGCGCATTTACCCTTTGTTCCGTGCAGATTTCGGGGGCTGGTGCAGCCTGACACATCTCACCCAACGACAAACCCGTTGTCTGCTTCACTTCTTCACATTCATGCCACATATGGCATCTTTCCCGGGCCTAGATTACTGTTTTCAGGTAAAAACTAACCAAAAGTGAAATCAACCCCCCTCCATCGTGGGTTTTATTACTGTTCTATACTATCGTTTTAAAGTACAGACCCTGAACTTTTGTTGTTGCCCCAACCCAATACTGAATGTTTGAAATCCAAATGCAGCAGTATTCATGGGTAAATTAAATGGGTTGGGCAGCCCAGAGCATAGAAGTCACCAAGCAGCATCTGAGACAGTTTGAGGAGACATCTGGGTGACTGCCCTGGGCCTCCCTGGACCCCACTGCTTCTCTTCCCCAGCCCCACCTGTGGTCTTCTGACCCTGTGCCATTGGGGCTCTTGGTAGCAGCTGTCAGGCTGAGCCCTGGCTCATGAGCTTCCAGGGGAAAAGCACAGGTTAATGTGTCTCTATAGAGCTCATGAAGTCAGTTTAATTCATGCATGAACATGAGTTCATTTTTTATACAGCTTTTTTAGACACAAGCCATTGTGCATAATTGAGTGAAATCCTTCAGTTCTTACCTTTGTTTAGAAAGAAAGGTAATCAGCGAGTGTTTTCTCCACTTAATCTAGCGTACGCAGTTACACATCTGTCTGTGGATAAACTTACAATGTTCGTTGCTTAGCATCTCCTATGAACTGATTCCCAGGGAGGAAAACCAAAAGGGAAACCTCTGATTCCTCTCCTTTCAGATGTGGGGGAGACGGCTGGAGGCTGTGGGATCACCTGTGAGGTTCAGCTGTGTGTGGCGAATTGTTAGCAGTCATGCTCTGACTTGATGTGAGGAGGCTCCACATCCACCCCTCTGTGGGGACCAGTGACTCGTGAGATTAACCCTGGGAGGCAGGTGGGTCAGCGTGGAGAACGAGAGAGGCCCTGCCTGGCTTGGGAAGAGGAATCGGTGGCACCCGGAGAGCAGTGGCAGCCCTCCTCCCATTCCACCTTGAGGAGGAGGTGCCAGGAAGCCGCCCCCTCACCTGAGCTCCAGCTTAAGTGGACTTGCTTTGGGGCCTATCTCTGACACAGCGGCTGGAGCCCTGCCTCTCCACTGCTAAGTGGAATCTGGAATCTCTCATCTACCTCTTAGTCAATCAGTTCCTACATGTGAGAAGCCAGCCTGTGAGCCAGGTCCTCGTACATGCTGTAGCACTTAAAAAATAATTCAGAGGTTCCCTGGAAAACCAGTCCCAGGGTTCCCACAAATTGGTAGTTTCTACCTGAATTTTAACTGGTATTGGGTACCTGGATTTGATTGGTTAGCCTTAATTATAGCTTGGCATAATCATTTCTGGTGACCAAATCATAAGGTTCTATCAGGGCACCTGTGTCAGTGGTGCTATGCTGGTCAAAATTTGAGACTTTGAAATAAAAAATTTGTCGTATTCATGCCTCTTAACTAATTATGTGTTCTTTTTCTTCGCCTTAGGTTTTTAAGGTTGAAATAAAAAAATGAAGTAGTATTGCTTTCTCTGCTAACCCTGCTGTGACCAGTACTTTTTTTTAAAACCAAACTTCCTAGAAAATTCTCTCATGCTGTGGTTAATAACAATTATTGGTCATCAGTCCCTCGTGCTTTCCCTGAGCTTTGTCTCTGAGCTGTGGACAAAGGTGATGTGTTGTTCTCACCGCAGTTTTACTCCTAGTGGGCCTGCCAAATCTTGCGCTTTCTGCCGCTCCCTTACGTGCCTCCCAGGGTGAAGACTCCACTCTCCAGTATGGCTCAGCTGCGGGGAAGAACTGGAGCCCAGGTCCTTCAGCAGGAGCAGGGCTTTGGCAGTGCTGGTGGCCTGGCCTTAGGAGGACTGAGGTGATTAGAAAAGGGCATTTACCTGGGGAGTGAGGAGATGGACACGAGGGACAAAATATGAAGGTGCTGAAACTAATTTTAAATTAAAATTAAGAAACCCACCTACCTTGATAAGTCTTGACCAAAAAATGAGTATTGTGACCATACCTAGTTCTTTTTGCCATGTGTGTTTAATTTGTCTGATGGTCTAGGGAGCAGGTCCAGTTGCCACGGTCACCACTGGGCTGTGGTGGTTCTGTCCTCAGTGAGGGACACTTGAAGGCATTTTAGCAGAGGATGAGGGGTAAGGTGGTTTGGACAGGGTCTAATAATTAAAATGCATGGGGATGGGGGTGGGAAGCAGAACCTGCGGTCACTAGAGGCCCTGATTTAGAAAATGTAAGCAGATGCTCTTGTCCTCAGCGTCTCCCAGTTACACGCCCAGGTGGTCTCTCAGAGAATTATTTAATAGAATTACACACTTTGGGCTCAGATGCTTCCAACCACAAAAGTGGGAGCACATCCATGAGCACCAGTCTTCCCTCCATAGAATCAGTACACATCAGACTTTTTTCTTTGGCTCCCATCCTGTGGGTCCAATCAAGCCTGGGCGCATCTGACAGAATCCCGGGGCCGTTTGCCTCCTAGCCTCAGTGTCTCCCGTGTGGCTACAGCTTGAGTTCACTGGGCATCGGCTCCCCTCTCAGGCCAGCCAGCAAGTTGTTAGCTGCCAACAAGGACATGGTGTTTCGGGTTCTATGGGTGGCACTGCCAATGTGGGGCAGGATCACTGGAAAGGAGAGGAAGAAAGGGAAATGAGGAGGGTGATTCAGGAGCCTTATTAACTCGGGCCCTTTTTTCATGGCTAGGATGTGCCAATAAAAAGATTTGCCTTCCCTCCTCTCACTAAGCACTCTATTTCCCCAGGGCTACCGAAACCCAGATGCAAGGGTGACAAGAATTACGTATCCTGAACACAGGAATGTCAGGGCTAGAAGGAGTCTTGGAGCCTGTCTAGACGCAGCCCTTCAAATATCAGATGGTGAAACTAGGTGATGCCCTGGGCTTCTGATCTCCCGAAATAACTAGATGAAAGGCTGGACAGCACAGCTGCTTCTGGCCCCACTGCAGAACAAGTGAGGTCACTCGTCCCTAAAGCACACCTTTCAAAAGCAGTACCCAGGGCACCGAGCTAAAGGCCCAGGGCTTGGGGGGATGGGAGATTTCCCAGCTCCGGGCAACAGCCTGGCCATCACAGCCAGTGTTCCTCTCAGACGGGCATGGGGGCGGGGATGGTAGAGCTTCCAAGGGCTCCAATAATGGGAGCATTCACTGTGGGGAAGGCAGCTACGGCCCTTCTCTTTGGTTTTCCCTTCCAGAATGTAAGTAAAGGACAGGGACTGGCCCAGACAACCTGAGGCCCCTTCCACTCGGTTATGTATTAGTCTGGAGGCAGAAACCACGTCAGCTAGCTGAACAGAGAGACCGTAATATAAAGAACTGTTAACGGTAACTGAGGAGTCTAAAGAGGAATGCTAAGTAAGTGGTTCTCACAGTGCTCCCCGGCCAACGGGCAGCAGCAGCGTGGGAGACATTAGGAGCACATTCTCAGGCCTCATCCCTGAGGCAGAAGCATGGGGGGGGCCCGGCACCGTGTGTTTCATCAGTCCCTCCAGGTGACCGATGAACAAAAAAGTTTGAGAACCACTGCACTAAGGTGTCACGGGATGAGATGCCAGACGCATCTACCTCCCCGGGGGCTAGGGGACAGGGAAAAGGGTATGACTTAAAACTTAGCCTGAGAAAGGGCGTTTGGAGCTGTGACTCCCACCTCTGGCGGCTGTGGCTTGTGTCTCTGGGGGCACGGTGCTTAACCCGAGTGTTGGGAGAACTGCAAGCCGGCTTCACAAGCCGTGGCGGGAAGGAACCGGGGCCGGGTGAAATGTTGCTGGTAAAGCGCAGTTCTTACCGCAGTTTTTCAGGGTCAGGAGAGGGTGGTTTGTAGGCAGTGGTTCTGGGGTTGTCACATCCAGTCCAGCAGCTGCAATCTGACCACTGGCCAGGGCCTGGTACAGGTCGTCCTGGTCCACCACTTCTCCCCTGAGAATGACAGTGATGTGGGTGCCCCAAAGCTCCCTCTACCCAGGTCGCCTTTAGGGCAGAACCACCCAGAGAATGAATTTTCCCATCAACCTGGCACTTGGCACTAACTTTCAAAGCAGTAAGCCTTATAGTATACTTATTTATAGTTTGTACAGTAATACAGAGAACCCCAGCCTGCCACTTTCGAGCTGTGTGACCTTGGGCAAGTGTCTCAAATTCTCTGTGCCTCAGGGTCCTCCTCTGTATGATAGGGAGAATACTACCTAACTCCCAGGAGTGCTAGGAGGATCAAAGCTTACTTACACGCACCACTACATGAACGGGACCCAGAACCTGCATGTGTGTTGGGATCCCGACCACCGGCCGACAAGCACTGCAGCCAAGTGTCAGGCACCTGCCCAACTGCAGGCAGAGACCTGAGGATACACCCAACTACATCCATCCAAGTGAGCAGACATCCTTCCCATCAATGAACCATTGGAGTAGAGATCTGGTTTGCTAAAGACTTCACATCGTGCACTCAACGGTACTCGTGCAGCAATAACCCAGTGCCCTGAAGTACTGGGTACGTGACGGAAGCAACGACACTGTTGGCATCAGTGCGAGCCCTGTGTTCCTGCATGTTCACTCCACCCCAAAGGCACCCCCTTTGCAGCTAAACGTCAGTAACTACAGGCACCTCTGGGGTGGATGAGCCCTTGGAGTCCCCTCCCATTGCCCATCTTTGCCTCCAAATTGATTTAAGTGGGTTCAAAGGGCACTAGCTAAGAAGGGGTTGGAGTGGCAGAGAGGGAAGGTCTGCCCCCATAACATGCTCAGTGGCCTAAAGGCACCCTGGGGACATTTTGAGGACCCAAGACAACCTGGGTTTTGGGTCTGTCTGCCCAGGAGCATGAGGGTTCAAGCTGTCATTGACTCACACAGACAGACCCAGGCTCAGCACCGTGAAGGTCGGCCTCCAAAGGGCTGTAAAGAACATTAAGGCCACCCCTTTGTGGTTAGAGGTACAGGGTTACCTGGTAACTTGCTGCCACGGTGCCTTCACTTCCTGAGCAAGGCCAAGGGTACTGCTGGGAACCAGACAGGCCAGGCCCTGCTCTGAGCACCTGGGACATGCTCTGGGGCCTTTACTGTATTTCTGAGTTGTCTGGTTGATTGGTTTATCAAGGGCAGTAAGCTCAGCCTGAGTCTCACTGACAGCCCATGGGGAAGAAAAACCTCAGGTCACAGCAACAGGGACAGCCCCTCTCTAGGCTTGCCTGGTGACCCAGGATACCTGCTGATGTTGACAAACACGGCCGTTTTCTTCATCTGCTGGAAGAAGTCCTTGTTGCAGAGCCCCCTGGTTGCAGGTGTTAAGGAGCAGGCCACGACGATGAAATCGGACTCAGCGGCCAGCTGCTGGGTGGACACTGGGGGAGGGCAGGGCTCCATCAGGTGCTGTGTCCCAGGTTAGAGACAGCAAGAGGGTGGGAACCTTGACCATTCCTCCCTCCGCCCATAATGGAAACTCCCAAGATGCTTCCTGAAGGTCTTGTCTCTACGTGGAGAACTCTAATAACCACACAAAGTCAACAGACACTCGTGGGATCCTGGTGTGTTACATCATTCAGCCAGCCCCCTGCTCTAAAGGTGGGGAAACTGAGGCCAGAGAGGGGCAGGAGCTTATTCAAGGTCACACAATGGGATCTGGACCACTCTGGCTTTCACCACCTTCAAGGCCCAATGTGCCAAGGGGGTGGAGTGGCTGAAATCCAGCCTGCCCTCCGCTCAACACGCTGTGCGCCTGCCAGGGAGCTGGATCCACCCGGACACAAGGCTGGCGGGTAAGCGCTCACCAGTTTATTAAGAAAACTGCGTGAAAGTTCCCAGCAATTCCTTATATGTGTCACCATCCCTGCTGCTCTGTTTGTACATGGACAATGGTGATAAAAGACCCTGCAAGACAGGAGACCTGGAGTCCCTCTGGCATTGAGGGTACTCACTGTGTGGCCTGGGTGAGGCCCTTTGCTCCCTGAATGGGCCTCTGCGTGCAGGGGCACGGAGGTCAGACAACACCTAAGGCACACCACAGACACCATGGAGCTCCTGCAGCCTGCCCCAAAGTGCTGCCGTTACAGCAAACACGGAGAACCATCCAGCCGAGCACAGGTGGGGTTCCTGTGGAAATCGAGGTTTTACTTACCAAACTCTGCCTGGAATTCCTCTGCTTCCTGAGGCCTGGGCTGGCGCCCTGTGTAAAGCAATCTCTGGACACCGAATGGTTTCAGACACCGAGCAATGGCCTGGCCTGGAGGCAAGGAGTCAGAGTCAGCGCTTGTTCCCAGTCCCTCAGAGGGCAGGGCAGCGCCCAGCAGCTCCAGAGAGCGGGAGCCCCTGGGGGAAGGGTGGGGGTGGGGAGGCCCTTCCCAACATTAACCACTCCTGCCACACTGTACCCAGCCCCCTGCCAGCCCACACTGCCCTCAGGGGTCCGTGTGATAGTCCTTCAGGGATCTGAAGGCAGCACCACAGCTCCTGTGTGGCTGTGACTGACGTGCCGTCCTCACACGGTGCTGGCCATCTTGAGGGCCATCTGCTAGCCTTCCCTGAGCACTGGATCTGGCAGCCCAGCAGAGGTCTGAGCACACGGTCCCCTTCCTCCTTCTGGACCCTCTGCTTCTGGTGGTGCACCCACAGACCCCACCCGACTTTCTGGTGGCGCTGCCCAACTGCCGACTCACCCCGACCCTGACCCTTTGCACACACACTGCCGGGACAGGCTTGAGCAGCTGGATTTTCAGACGCAGAGCACGTCCCAAAGCTGCTGGCTTCTTCCAAGCAGCCCTCTAGTGTGGGAGGCAGGGCTGCTAGCTGGCCGGACAATTTATGCACCCCTCCTGTCCTCACCCTCACCTCTGCACCAGGCAGGGTGCCAGAGAGCCACCGGCCTATGCCAGGCTTCTCCAGCGCTGGGGGCCATTGGAAGAAAAGTAGCTCTGCCCCGCCTCAGAATCACAGGTAAGCTCTGTCCGCTGGACCCTCTGGTTCCTGAATTAAGGCTTTAGGAGTCAGATGCCTTCCAGAACCCAGGCCTGGGGCAGCGTGGGCTCTCCCACAGTAAACCCCTCCTAAAAGTCCCGACCCTGCAGCCATCATCGCTTTCATCTGTCCTGTATGCAGCTATAATCATAAAGAACCCTGGCTCTTACAACTTGCTTCTATCACCTAATAAGTTCTTAAGGAACTCCTTATTTTATTTTTTGGCCTGTGTTTTACGATGCTGTGTCTTCTCGCTAGAGGTATCCCTACTGCACCCAGGTACGGTGACTCTTTCCAAATAAGGATTGTCAGCATCTGGACACGGGTGCCAGAGACTCAAACCAAGACGTGAGAGCCAGGGTGCCAATCTGGGTAGATGGGAGCCTCACCTATGCGCCCCAGCCCGATGATGCCAACGGTGCTCTGTGTGAGGCCGTAGCCACACATCCACAGGGGCTTCCACGAGGTCCAGCCGCCGCTGCAGGGAGAGAGAGGGACGGGTTAGAGGCTCTGGTCTCAGGAAAAGATGAGGGCCGCTGCGCAGACCCCGTGGTGCAAGGGACAGGCCCAGCCCTCCAGTCAAGGATTGAGAGGAGCATGCGTTACCCCTATAGCTACTGGGTGTTGCCGATAAGCAGCGTGACTGACTCTTCCTTTAAAGCCACTGGGGACACAGAGTCCGAAGGCTGGAAGGGGCCTTACGGGTTCTCCCCCCATTTTGCAGACGGGAAAACTGAGACAAGAAAGGGCAATCTATGTGAGGTCACACAGCCAGGGAACAGCAGCAGGTTGCAAACCCAGGATGTAGGATTCCAAAAACAGTATTCTCAGTGCTCCAGGGAAGCCACAGGCCCACCCCTGTTGCCTTGGGTGGACAGGGGAATAGAGCCTGTCTTGAGTCACCTCCAATGAAGGGACCAACTCCCTCGACAGAAGGGTGAGAGTGTCTAGTCAGCCCCATGCAGCCTCTGTCCCTGCCACATCCCCACCTCAAATCCCCTCTCCCAGTACACATTCTCTGAGAGCCTGCATCTGCACGCCTCCTGGCCTTTGCTCAAGCCAGTCCCCGCACCTGGAGTACCTTTCCCAACTCTGGATGTACAGACCCACATCTCTGATCTGAAACCCTCAGGCCAGAATTTTTAAATTTTCAGATTTTAGGAAGGTGTTAAGGTACATATGCTGTATTCTACATAACACCCTCAACAGCATCTGGGGTGGCACCCGTATCAAGCACATTGGTGTATCTGCAGCGAAATGAAACAACCTTCAGTTTCCAGAGCCTTTTGGATTCCCACATGATGGTGCACAGGGCCCTCTAAGGGCTCAGGAGGATGCCCACCGGCTACCACTTCCACGCAGCCTTCCCTGATCCACGCTCCTCCCCCACAATTTCCCTTCACACCCTGTTTATTTCAGCTCTGCTGTGCATTTCAGTATTGTGCCTGAGTCTGTCCCCCTTCATTAGTTGGGGCACAGCCGGGGACAGGATCACCTCTGGTCCAGGGTGACACCTGGTGCTCAAGTACCAGCTGCTAAGCAGAGTCGACTTCCCTGCCAAGTGTTCACTCACTTCTTCACCTCCTCGATGGCCTCAGGCAACCGGCGACAGGTGGTGAGCAGCAGGGAGACGGCGAGTTCGGCCGTGGCATCTGTCAGGACATCTGGGGTGTAGCCCACACGGATCCCACTACGAATCAAAGATTTGGCGGTAACACTGGCCTCAAGCACCTTCACCAATTTCTACTGCTGGGACATTGCCGTGATACAGCTTTGTTCACTCTTCGTGCTGCCTGTCAGGAAGCTCAGAGCTGTAAGTGAGCACTCAGGAATGGCCAGCCCTCATTTCCATCTTGATTATCTCCCATTTTGAGAAGGATATAAGATGGAAGATCGGGGTCCAAAGTCTGGAGCCAGTAACTACTTAACTTTTCTGAACTTCCTCATCTAAAGAGGGAAATAATAATACTTGCCTTTTCTACTTGAAGGGGTTGTTGTGGGGGTCAAAAAAAAGAATGAATGTGAAAGGGTGTCACCTGGATACTGTTACCCACTGCTTCTGCCTGCTCGGCCTTACCTTCACTGATGTGTGCACACATGAGCAGATCTTATCATCAGCTACCTTACGTTTTCACTGAATGGTCAAAGAATATGAAGAAAAAAATACTCAGCTCCTCTTTTTCCCTCTCTGGTAGTCACCCCTCACTCCAGGCCCTGCTTCCAGAGCCCAAGCTGCATTTACCGCTTCTTGATTTCATCCAAAGCCAAGTGGTCGACACCCACGGACATTGTGCTGATGACTTTGAGATTGGCTCCTGTTGGGCAGAAAAAGCATTGTTTGTATCTTTCCTCATGGGATTCAAGGCCCTCCTACATACTATAGACAGGTCCAGAAAAGGCAGGGCCCTGCTCAAGGTCATAAAGCAAGGCTGAGCAGAGCTGGACGAGGGCCCCGGGCCCTGGCTCTCCTCCACACCATGGTCTTTGCCCTCCTAAGGCCTCCCTCTGGGGACTCACCACCAGGAGAGAGGGGCAAAGTGTGTGCCATATGGAACTGCACACAACTGCTCCCTCTGGCCCAGGTCTGCAGTGAATGCCCTCAGAGCTCAGAGAGGTCACTGAAGACCCGCTCGGGAACCAGCAGCAGCAGGCTGATACGTCCACCAGGGCCAAGACACTGTTGGGACCCTCCCCGGGCCTGCCCAGTGCACACACCTGCGGCGTCCAGGAGCTTCTTGTCTATGCGGTCAGAGAGGAGGCAGAGCAGGCCATGGGCCCCAGCCACGCCCCGTTCCAGGTCCTTGCTGGGGATGGGCTCATCGGAATCCCACTGCTCCACCTCACAGCTGAAGGCAAAGGAAAGACCGCTCAGAAGTGCGGGAGCCCCGCAGGTGTCCCCGGGCCCCCAAAGCCCCTCCAGCCCCCTGCAGACCCCTCTCAGAGTGGGAAACATTGTCTTCTGCTTGCTCTGGCCTCAAGCTGCCTGGGGCTGGCTGAGGCGAGTCAAGGTCAGGCGTGGGTGGCCTCAGAACTGTCCTGAGGGTGAAGGGCTGTCACAGACCACAGCTCTCTGACAAGGACAGAAAGGGTCCTAAAGTGAAAGGAGAAAGTCACGGGGACGGCTCTTAGCTCAACACAAGGAAGCGCTTTCTTACCCCTACAGGAGGCCTCACAGGTAGTGAGCTCCCGGGCCTGGGCTGCCTATTGTTGGGAAGGCCAGTGGGGGGAAATCAGATGGGGCTTGATTTCCCTGTCCAGTTGCACATCCTCTCCTATGAGTCCACGAAATGAAAAACTCTTGTTCTTGACTTTGTACTTGGACAAGATCAAAGCAGTTCAACATGGAGGAGTTTCAGGGGGCACTTCCATGGTGGCTGGTGGGCACGGGGCATGTTTCCCCGTGGTGCTGCCCAACCTCCCAGCCCTTGACATTTAATTCTGTGCAGCCAACACGTACAGAGCATCTACATGTGCAAGACACAGAGCTGCTGGCACTTCCCAGAATTCCCCGCTGCGGCACCTCCACGCCTAAGCCCCAGGCACAGGCTTTCTTTCACCCTCCTTTGATGGTGGCACAGCGCTATAGCAGTGTGAGCTGCCGCCATTAGTGCCCTTGTTGTTTTTGCCCTCCCCTCTTCCCCTCTCAATGCCTGGTACATGGCAATTCCTCAGCAAAGGTTTCATTGCATTGAATGAAATGAACAAATCTCATTTTCCCCTTGCACTGGTCTCTGAGGCTGGGTTCCACCTTCTCCCTGCCTGATATGGGCAGTGCAAACCTGCATAATGCAGGGCTCAGACTGCAGCTGACAGAGCAAAGTTCACATCCCAGCTGTGCCACACACAGTCATTGAGGAAGGTACTTAACCTGACCCAGTTTTCTCTGTAAAGTGGGAATTACTGTACCGACTTCACAGTACTGAAGGATTAAGAGTTTACGTATATGAAGCACCTGGCAAGGCTCACCTGCAGGGTTCAATTTAAGAAATGCTACCAGAGGCCCCCTGCCAACTGTCCAAAGGGACCAGGTAATCCAGTGACTGCTAAGGTCCCTGACCTGGCCAAGTGACCACAGAGGGTAAAAGATTAACAGCCTGTCCCTTGTGTCATGGGCCGTCTTCCCTCTCCCCAGGGCCATGGCTGGGGAGGGCTCCAGCCCTTTCCCCCACCCACACTGCAAGGGCCAGGGGAGCTGCGGGTCCCAGCGTCACTGCCACGGGCCTGGAGAAAGCTGGGCCCCAGAGAACTTTCTCTAAGCTTCCCCAAACTCCAAAACAGTCCTGGCCAGGCACAGGTTGGAAAGTTCGGCCAAGGCCCAAGCGCAGGATCCCGGATCTGACGCCACGGACCGCGCCGTCCGCCCCACCAAAAATAACTAACTGGGCCTCGGGAGGCCTACCCCGACCCGCCCGGAGACGCTGAGTCAGCCAGCGTACTGGGTGCCCGAGGTCCCGGAGCGGCGCCTGGGGCTCTGCAGCCCCTTCCCGCGACGCCACCCGCAGAACTCGCGCCCGGAGGTCGGGGACTCGGCGCGCGGAGCGCTGCAGGGGCGCGGGGCTCTTACTCTGCGGCCCGGGCGAGCGCGGCGCTGCCCTCGGTGGGGATCCTGCGCGTCACAAACACCTTCATAAGTCGCACAGGCCTCATTCACCTTCCAGCCGCCGGATACTGAGCCGGACCCCGCGGGCGGAAGCAGTCTGGGAAGGGGGCGGGTCCTCGGGAGGGCCGGGCCCGGAGCAGGAGGGGCGGGGCTGCGGGCTGGCGCCGGGGGCGGGGGCAGAGTGGGGGCGTGTGGGGTTGCAGCTGTGCAGTGAGCGAGTGGCACTGACGGTGTGTCTGTGTGGGGGTAACTGGGGCTCCGCGTGTACGCCTTGTGCCTGTGTGTGTGTGTGTGTGTGTGTGAGATCAAGCCTTAATGAAACAGACTGGTTCTGGGGTTGGTGCCAGGCTCGTATCCTTGGCCTGCTACCTCTGAGTACCCACTGCCCCAGAGCATCAGGACCGGCAGGCGTGACTTGGGGGTTGCGTTGGGTAAAAGGGCATCCAGGAGAGAGTGCTGTGTGAATGTGTGTGGATGCCTATAAAGGTGCCTACTGCGCTGGGGGAGGGGGCTGCAGTCAAGGACCATCCCCATTCCCAGGGCCTGAGTGCATTGACCATCTTCTCTAGGTCTGTCTCTTCATGGTCACACTGTTCCAGGCAGGGGGTCTTTGGTCACACAGACTGAGCTCTGAGCCTGGCCTATTGTGCATACAGAGGAGCCTGGATGAGGGCAGTCTGAATCCCAGAATGACCTCTTTAATACTTGGTGCAGTTCCCCATAGGAAGCCCACAGCTGTGAGAGGGAGTTTGATTGGTTGTGGGCCACCCAGTTTGCTGAACACTTGCTGACCAGCTGGAGGCAGGTCATGCATAGGGCCAGGGCCAAGATGCTGGAGACATGTGGGGTCATGGGGTCATGGTCAGACCCCGGGTTTGCAGTCAGGTGGACTGGGTCTGAATCCCAGCTCTGCCACTTAACAAGCTGTGTGATCTTGGTCGGTTCACATCCTCTTCCTAAGCCTCAGTTTCTTCAGCTACAAGATGGGGTTATTAGAACTTACCTTTAAGGGTTGTTGTGATTATTAAGCAAGCAACATTTGCATGGGCCCTGGGCCATGTTAGGTATTTACCAAGCACCAAGGCCATGAAGGAAAGAGTTGAGGAGTTAAGGCTCAGGAGCCAGACTGCCTGGGTTTAAATCACAGCTCTGCCACCCACTAAGGACAAGTTGTTAAACTTCTGCATGCCTCAGTTTCCTCATCTGTAAAATGGGGACAATAGTGATACCTCCCTCACAGCTTGTTGAGAGGATGACTATATATAGTGCTTACAACAGCAGGTATGTTGGGCTGCACCCTGCAGGCCTGCAAGCCTTGTAGTTGTCCAGCCTCGAGACCCAAGAAAGAGCCTGGAGACAGTGGCGAAGACATCAGTGGCTTATTGGACAGGGATCGTACACAAAGGGTCCTGGAGCAACACCCCACCATGCAGATGGCGGGCAGGATATGGCAGCAGTCTTTACTGCCCGAGGGAGAGGGAGGCTACCATTTATAGGGGGAATTGATGTCAGGTGGGCTCATCGGTTACCAGGGACTAATTAAGCCCTGTAACTAAGAGGATTGGATAGTCATGCGAGTGAAGCAGGGACTAGTAGAGCAGGGGATATACAGAGAGCAACAGAACAGCCATCTTGAATGGACTAACCATACAAGGTAACACACATCGTAGGTGCTTGACAAATAGTAACACATCCAAGGAGACACATACCCCAGGGATAGCAGCTGGTCAGAGACACAGATGCTGAAGCAAGACTCAGTACAAGTGGGAGGGGCCCAGACCTGTCCCTGAGCTCTGCCGGCTTCATCTCTGCCAGAGCCTGTTCAGGTACTTGCTCCCAGGCTTGGGAGCACCTAGAAGGCAAAAGCCCTACCTGGTGGTCCCTTCTCTGAGAATTTTATCTGAATCCATTCTGCCCCATCAAGGCCCAGCTAGGAAAGAGAGACAGGCACAGAGACGTGACATCTCCAGCCTGGGGTCACACAGCAAGTCGCTGGAGGGGCCAGAGCTGGCTCTTTGGGCCACCTGGGTCCCTGGCCAGTGCTCTGTCCTGCCATCTCTCCCTGTAAGTAACACATTAATAAATGTCTTACCCACAGACCGCTATCTGCACTGCTAGGACACCTTGGGGACGATTTCTGAAATACCTCAACTGTTGACACAACAAGGTGTTTTTCTGTCCCCAAGCCAGGGCTTCTGGGGACAGCACAGCCCAGTGGCTCCATCCTGTTAATCAGTGGTGACACCTGGGCCCAGCTCCTCCCCCACACAAGGACAGGCAAGGACACTGGGCAAGCCTGTCCACCAGGGGCAGGAGGGGGTGTGACACATCAATGGGCCCCCTCCCCCAAGGCAAAGCACCCAGATGGTGCTCAATAGTGCTACTAGATGGTGGCCATGGAGCCAGAGGATGGAGCCAGCTGAGAGCCCTTGAGGAGGATCAGGTGAAGTGGTTGGGAGAGGAAGGATCCAAACTGGAGAGGGATCAGAGGCCTGACCTGGGCTTCACTGGTAAAACAAATTAATAAGCAGCTGAGATTTATGGAGCTCTTAGTAAGTTCCAGGCAATGGCAGCCTGGGAGACCCCGGGTGACTGACTGAGGGTCAGGGCCACAGCTCCAGCAGGGGGATGGAAATTTGGAACATGCAAAAATTCAAAATGACAGTAAGAAAGGAAGTTTCTGTAGGACTGTTATAAATTCTCTTTTGCATTTAAATCTTGAATCTATTTGGAACATTTTGTATATACAGTTTGAGGTGGGGGGTTCTCCTTAATGTTTTTCCAAATGGTTAACCAGTTATTCAAGTACAATTTTTAAATAAGTATTTTTTTTTAGTTTTGGAATAGATAATAAATGCACAAGATACAAATTCCCAAAGGTACACAAGGGTATAAGGTGAAAATCACCACTCCTACCCTGCCCCCCACCACTCAGATCCTCTCCCCAGAAGCAGTCACATCTTTCCAGAGATGTTTAATATATATAATAATATGCATATAGTTTTCACATAAATGGTAGCATATACACTCTGCGTCACCCCATTTTTTTTCACTCAACAGTGTATCCTGGAGATCACTGCACATCCTTACACACAGAGGTGCCTCATTCTTTTTATGGATGCAGAGTATTTCACTGTAGGAGTGAACCACAAATGATGAACAGTCCCCTACGAATGGACATTTAGGATGTTTCCCATCTTTACTATTACAATGCCACAACAAAGAGCCTTTCACAAATGTCATTTT